GCCTAAGGAGAGTCACATGGAGAGAAAACATTCTCTCAGGCTTTCACAGAGAGCACATTGGCCAAGCAATGGCCGTGACTCATCCACATGGCTGACCCTGACAAAGGTTCTACAATCTGAGGCACAGGATCTCAGGATAAATCCTGAGGGGATTTCGCTGACCTTATCACACCCAAAAGCTACAACTCTTGTTGCATAGGTCCTGCTTTACCTTAGTCTTAACCATCCAGAAGAAAAGTATAAAAATGAAATATAAGAAATAAAGTCATGCTGTTATGTTGAGCTGTGGGGGACTCAGGTCAACAATTTCTGACACTGCCAGTCAAGCAGAAAACCCAATACTATTATGGGCTACTGGACTCTTTTAGAATATTTTGGTGAGTTTACACACCTATAATATTCAAATAACGGAACTTAACAAAAAAAAAGGGGATACAGATGAATGTCCATTTTGTATCTGTGTATTCAAAGTGATTAGGATAGATATATAGTTCCATTCTCTTAATGAATAGAGGGATTTGTTCTAATGGTGTTTGTAAATAGGATACCATGTCCGGATCTTGTACAGCAATTAACCACTAGGAAGAATGTATGCAATGTGTTAATTATTGAAACTGTCCTACCAATTTGATTTTTTTAAAAAATTTTATTTATTTATTTGTGTTGTGTGTGTGTGTGGCCAGCTCAGCCCTCCAGGGGGCGGGGCTGGCTGGCATGTGGTGCTGGGGGATTGAACTGTGGTCCCTGTGCTTTGCTAAGCTTGTTCTAAGCAGGTGCTTTAGACTACTGAGCCATCTCACCAGCCCCTACCAATTTGATTTGAAACTGTCTCATTGCTATTTGTTTATCAATAAAATTATGGGAAAAAAATACTGATAAAAAAAAAGTGTTCACTGAAGACATGAAATTGAAAACTTCAATATATCCTTAATAGAACTGTTATTTCTAGGCCAAAGTGAGACTATTTAGTAAAAGAAAAGCCTCAAAGATCAATATGAGGTACCATTACCCACCTATAGGTGGAGCCAAGCATGAATCTCATTTAAGACTTCCCTGAAACTTAGAGCCTCAGGTGATAACACAGAGATTACTCTGGAGAGATGGCTCAGTAGAATAAGCGCTTGCCTGGCAAGCATAAGGGCCTGAGTTCAATCCTCGGTTCTGCAAAAAAGCCCCACAAAACTGGTCGTGGGTAAATTATTTCATAAAGGAGAAGTCAGGAAAAAAGTCAGAGAAGGAAGGGGGTGGGGCAGGGGAGAAGACATTAGGGGTTAGAAGAGATTAGTGAGGGCTGGAGACATGAACAGAGAAGTGACTATAAAAATTATGTAGAGACAAATGGCACAAAAAGAAATGGAAGTCCCCAAAGTAATGGAAGGACTAGAGTACTGGAATGGGGCTTATAAAATTAGGTAAAAATTATTCCAAAATTTAAAAAGGGAGTTTTCTACTCAAGAAAACATCACCTCCAAAGACCAATGCCGGGCTGGTGAGATGGCTCAGTGGTCTAAAGCACCTACTTAGAACAAACTAAAAGCACAGGGACCGCGGTTCAATCCCC